GCCCTTCTGTGTGTCCTGGGCCCCTGCCACAAGAAAAGCAAGGATGAACTGATAGTGTAGAAAGAGCAAAATCAGGGTGCAGCTGGGGGGTACTGCCTTGAGAAACAGAGCACTGAGCAGCTGTGGCAACAGCTACGTCCTCAGCTGAGTCACAGCTACTGTCTGCTGTACCCTGAGGCAGCAGCAAGCACAGAAGTTTGTGGGGAATGGAGCAGATAATATAGGCCACAGTTCTTTTCACAGACAACTGCTTTTTTTTTTTTTTTTCCCTATCATCTGCTATCTGTAAAGCTTTTCATTGAGGGAAGAAGAAAAAATCTCTATCTAGGAAAGCAGTTACCTAGAGCAACTTCATCACTTCCTAAGTTGTTTCTCCCACTAAATAACAATGAGTTATGTAAGAGCACGGGAAAGCTGAAAGTGTTGCCTTTATTAAGGTTATCCAGTCAAGGAGCTTTTCCATGAAGAAGATGGGAAGCCAGAAATAAAACTACCCAGAACTCAGAGACAGTGGGGAACAGAGATCATGCAAAAGACCAAATATCTACAGTCACTATTTGACAGGCCATTAGGAAAGTTCATTCACAGGAGTTTGTAACTATTACATAGTGGGAAATCAGGAGCATAAGGATTTGAACTAGGTCTGTGGAACTATGCAAAACTTGTTAAGGAAGGTGGCTGGGAAGGAATAATGAGGGCAATAGATGGAAAAGGACAGCTTTCATGCAAACCAAGACTGGTCAGTGTCTGTCCTGCCTTCATATTAAATGCTTTCTTAACTATCCATGAAATCTCATTATCCCATGTAGATGAGTGCTGTAAGTTTGAGGTGCCAGCAGCTGGTGAGACTGGCATGAGTCAATTTGGCCCAGCAACTGCAGTCAGATTGGGATGCTGGGGACAGGAACTGCAGCAAGTGCAGTCTCAGCAACAGTGGCTGGAGCAGCCACAGCTCTCTGGACCAACCCAAGGAGTGCCTGGCATGCTGCAGTTCAGACCTGTGAGGGCACTAGGAACTGGTGACACCAGAGGTGCTGGCATCCTGGTCTTAAAAACCAGAGTGGAGGAGTGCATGCTCCAGCCTCCAGGATGGGACCAGCACATGTCCTGAGTGCAACTGCTAAGGTATGGAGCCCTAGGTTTCTGGGCTGGGCAGGAGGAATAACCAAGCCAGACTTGCAAGAGGCAGTGGCAGTTTACAAAATTCCTTAAGTGTTTATCTCTGTATAAATCCATTTAGAAAGTGTAGGCCTATGCTCAGTGTGACCTTTTCCTCTCATCCTTTAAGTCACTTTTCAAGTAACTGAATACCAACAGCGATTGAGTTTGTGTTTTTCTTTACCACCTAACAAATCCAAATCCAAGTATTTTATCAATAAAGTGTGAACTTCACCTTTGTCAAAGCATGGTTTCCATGGCAGGTGTTACTGTTGCTCCTCTTTTTTTGCAGCTGCAAATAAAAACTTTTAGGAGTGCCAAAGGAAAATTAGAATGCTTTAAAAAATTCGCCTAAACCACAGCAGTTCCAGCTATTTTCTAAGTCAGAGAAATCTGAGTGCAACTCCGAGCTCTTTGGAAGATGTAGTAAATTACACAGATGTCATCTTAAGAATTTGTGCATGCAGGCAAAACAGTTTGTGCAAAAATACAGTCTGAAGACCAAGTTATACATAGCAGCTCCCATAAACAAGTAACAAATGCAGATGAATGGAAACAAAAGAATATCAAACTTCAACAGAAAAGAATCTTTGAGAAGTGGCAAAATCAGCAACATCAGGCCAAATTGCACTGAGTAGGACACAGCACTCATTCCTAGTGAAACAGACTCACCAAGGCTGCTGATCCTGTGACAACAGTTGATTGTAACTTCCATTTCATTCCCTTCCTTTTAAAGAAACTGCTCTCTGCATGCATATGCTGATGACATAATCTATTCCATAACAGTATCTTGCATTTCCTTCTAACTTAATAATTTACTCTTGTGATATGGTGAAGAATTCTCATACTCTGAGGAGTAAGAACAAATTATACAACACAGGTATAGTGCATGTCAGGAGTCTCAGCTTAGCATTAATTTTATAATACGTTTTATAGATATTTAGCCAAACCTTTTGAAGTTTTGGAAGCATATGCTCTCTTTCAATATAATTCTGTACATCCTAATTTTTAATGGGACCAATGACTATTTGTACAAAATCAAATCCTTTGACTATCTATTAGTAAACACAAATAGGGAAGCAAAATGCATTTAGAATTAAAATTGTATTAATTTACTGAATTGTTCTGTTCATAAGTGGTTCTCATGCAACTCAAGATTTTTAAAATACATTGTCTACATTGGGTTCACTTTTTTTACTCCTCATCTCAAAACCCTTGACCTTATTCTTCTGGTTTCCAGCAAAACGTGAACCTGTTAACATTGCCCTGCTATCCCAGCTATTAAAAGTCATTCCTTAAACTATGGTAGTAGCTCAAAATTTACCTATGAAAATGCAAACATCTTGTTTACTTGATCTTCTGGCCTACTAGAATCACTTTCTGCACAGCTAATTCCAGTACTAACATCAGTACTAGATTTCCTGTATCAGAATTTGGTATTTTTTATAAACCAATGTACTCTTTCCCTAAAAAGAGATCATGGAAGACAGGAAACAACTCTTCAAGGTGTCATGGATGAAACAGGGTCAATGGCAACCTCTGGTCAATCTGGAGGCTGGGGATTATTTTTAGAACTTACAAGAACAGAGCTTCTACCTTCTTATTTCACACTAGTTGATTTTCTCCCAGGTGCATTACTTTGATCTCAGCTTCCCTGCCCAGCAGGAAGATCATGGCTCATTTGTCAAGGTGGAACAGAAAGTTCTGTGTTGTAAGTTACAAGTCTTTGGCTTTATGCATCAAGCCTCTAAGCATTCCCTGGCATTCCTTCCCATGTAGCTCTCTGATCCCCAGGACCTTCCTTCCCATCCAGAATCTCTCCAACTGATGGTATTGTCACTTTTCTTTTCAGCCTCTTCCTCCTTCCAAGACTACTTTTTTCCAGGGACCCTTCATTTTGACACCAACTTTTCCTTCAAAAACACCAAGCCCAAAATTTTCCCAATGTCAGTAATTTATGTTCTGAAGCACAACATGAGCCTCTTACTTGGTGGTTCTGCCTCCTATATCTTTATTAATCTATCAGTCTTTGTTTGGCCTAGGTGTTACCAAAATTTACAAGCAACTCACAGTGGTTGCAGCTGTAAGTAGCAGGCTTCTGCCCAAGAGTTCAAACCCCCTCTGGGATGTGCTATCTCAAGAAATTACACAAAATTCTATTTATGTAGAACCTCCATTTCTGCAGAGGTCTAACTCTCCAAATGGAAGACACTTCAAGATTAATCAAACAAACAAAAAAAATCTTTATTTTGACAACTCAAGGCAGTAAAATACAAGTATACAAAAAGATATACAAAAGTGGCAGTGATAATGCAACTTGATGCAATCCTACAGAAATTTAATCCATCAGAATGGACTGCTTCATCAATAAACTCATCTGTAAAATATTGCACCATTTCATAGAGGGAGCACTCAGGAAGACAGTGTTTATACTCCAGGGAGGTACAGCAGCCCCTAAACTAGTATATCAGACTTGAGAATAAGGCACCAATTGGCAAGTATGATTCTTGTTCTGTTCATCACATTGTGTGTAGGATAAATGCAAGATACATGTTAATGCACCTTTGTCAGCTGGAGGAAACACAGCCTTCATTTTCTAGGCCAAATAATAAAAAGAGCACATGCCTAGTTTTCCAGCCTCCCTCCATATACCTTTGTGCTTCCCATTCATAATTTCATCCTGAAAAACGTATTTTAAAAGCCATACTTACATTTTTTAAAAGCCGGGAACTATGCCAACTTAGTGCTACAAAATGGAGAGACTGAGACTGAAGTGAGCCACCTGTAGTCCATATATAATCCAGTATCTCAGGATTTAGGCTCCACCACAAAAAGAGAACAATGCCCATCTCCCACCTCACATCAAGTGGGAGCAACTGTAGTTGGACACAGCAAGACACAAATTACAGCATGAAGAGACTGTGGAAGGAATTTACAAAAGAAATGATAGATTGTTCTTTTAAATGATCATGGATTAAGAAAGAAAACTCAGAGAACAGGATAATAATGTAAAACTCTTCCCTCTCATTTAAAAGGAAAAAAACTGGAGTGATAAATAATCCAAGCAACATGCTTAGACTGCAAAAAGCTGCCTTGAATATTTTTGTTAATTAAAAAGACAAAAGATCCTCTTGTACAAGGGTGTAGAGTTTCAGGGCTTCAGTTGTACAGTGCAATTTATAGACTCCTGAGAAGTTGGTGGACTGAATGTCTATTGTGACACATAAGTACTATGGCAAACAAATTCCTCAAAAGGAATATTCCATGCAGTTGCTCACTCTTGGGATTAAGGGAAGTTAATCTAGAATTTCTAGATTCAAAACTATTTCTGGGGCATTTTATGCAGGCATATTTTCTGGGTCTCTATATGTTTTGCTGATAATCTGGGATATCTTGTAGTTCTCTTGATAACTTGGCTATAGAAGGAATGTAGAAAAATAGACTTTTCAACAATCAAAATGCGAAGTGTTGAGTACTCAGAACAATAACCTTCCATTTTAGAGAGGGGGAGGATTCTCCTTTATAAGGAGTCCTTTCCTAATGTGCACAGGAGTCACCTCTCCTGTATGAAAAACCATGCAGAAAGTATTTAAAATTTTTAAAGTACAAGCATAAGATAAGTAGCATCTTTTGACTGTTTTCCTTTCAGAAAGTTTTAACTTAAAAATTGTACTAGTAGTCCATTTTCCATTTTCACATTCACTTTGTTTACAGATGTCCCTACATCTCCTTCCAAAGGACGTTCCCACTTCTTTCCACTTCCAACGTTGATTCTGTTTCCATCACTTTCTGTACATACAGAACTAATTGGGATATTAGAATTTTAAATCCTGAAGAGGAGAGTTGCCAGTTTATTTTAGAAAAAGACAAAGAATTAGACTGGCACTCCTTGCTTCCCATCTGATGCCACAGTTTGTAAAAGTGAAAACAGATATCCACAGTTAAAGTTCAGCTTTGGCAGTATCTCTCTTCAAACAGAGCTGGCAAGGTTATTTTCCTGGGAGATAGCCAGGAAACAGGTAAAGGTCCCGACAGAGTGTGCTACAATATTCTGACATTTCCTTGCAGCGGTGAAATTCGGTGCCTGGGGCATAACCTTCTCGTTGCTTGATCTGCCTATTCACCTAGATGTGAGATAAAAAAAACCAAAACATTTAAGTAACTGAAAGGTTTAAAAAGAAGGAAGAAAAATGTCATTTCTTTCTGTACTCACAGATTATTCTGTTTAATGTGTTAATTAGTCCCCTAATTATAAGAAGGATAAAGAACTAGGGTGCAGTTCCACAGCAGCTCAAGTTGCTGTGGTCACACTGCTTTTTTCACTCCTCCTTCCTTCGCTTTCTAAATCTTTACCTTCTATGAGTACTGGTACTTTTGCAGCTGTGTTGTGTGCATGTTCAGGGAACGAATTCACCTAAAGAAAAGCTATCTCTATAGAAGAAAAGTAATTCTTGGCAAGCAATATTAACTCTACTTCCAAGTTCACCATGCAACCCACACAAATGAAACAGAAGGAGTTAAAGAAACACCATCATTACTTGGGCTAAACTGCTATGGAACTGTATATAAATAAGAATGAGGAAAGAAATATAATTTTGCTACCAATAAGACAAGAACAAGTGCTTAAATAGTACTAGATTAATCCTAGCATTTTGAAGCAATGAAAGGCCCTTCAAAACCCAGGTAGGAGTAAATGCCCCTGTACTTTACCTTCACCAGCATGTCAGCCACGTGAGTGTGCCGGGAGTCCTCTGCAAACACCGAGGTGAGAGCCTCGACATACCAGGAGCCACGCTTGGTATTCCGCATGGCCGCAGTGCCTGGCGACACAGAGTGGCTACCATGAAGGCTTTTGGGCAACACAGACACATAGCACCTCCTGATGCCCAAACAATGAGGGGCCAGTACCTTTCAGACAAGCGTATCCACAGATCATATCCGAGCACGTCGGCAGCCGCAGCTTCACACTTTCCTCCTTGTTGGCATCGCTTTCCTCACAGCCCGGAGAGTCTGACCGCCCTTTGCCATCTCTTTGATCCACTCCTCGGTCCAACTCATCTGTGGTGGCAACAAACAAGCAGAGGGAGAAGGGGAGAAGAAATTATCCTGAATTACTGGATGTAGTTTTCCTGTACATCCTCAGTTTTCTGGCCAGCAATGCCCACAACTACTGTCAAGCAGAAAGTTTTTGCATTTTAATTTAAGGCTTTCTCAGCTGTTTTAAACTCCTCTGAAAGTTCTTCTGCATAAACTAATGTAGATACCAACAACTGCTGCACCTGCTTAACCTAACCTAACCTGATCTGCACGCTAATTTCTGCTCCCACCTCTTCCTGTGCAGATCATGGGATAACAATGAAAGCAGGGAAGTTTCTAGTAGTTTTCCACCATTAATGGAAGGATTTGATGCCCAGCCATGAAGTTTTTATTTTTCACTCATAGCTACCTCAGAAATATCCAAAAATGTCTAGTGCACTTTGCAATGCTAACTATCTTTTTACTGCAGAACTCAAACAAGAGCTGCAATTTTGGTTGCTAAGATCCAGGACACGTAGAAAACCTGGACCAAGCATCTCACATAGTTTTGATTGCAATACCGCTTATTTCAATTAAAAGCATAAATTGGGCAGCAGAAAAATGCAAAATAATCTGATCTCAAACATGAGAGAGAACTCCAGTCCATGGAGATTAGTTTAAAACCTGGAGTGCATTTAATGCCCTTTCCAGGATTCATTAGTATGTATTATGCAAGTGTAGATGTTCTCAACTGGTTTTCTACATGATGCAGAGTTTCCATTATAATCTCAACTAATTGCTTAGTGGTGGTAACTTTGATAGTCCAGCTGTGTTGCAAGAAAATTAAAATTACATTTTATAGATTTTCCATATAATTTTGGCTTTTTGTTTTCTTTTGTTCTAAGATGAGAATCTACTAGTCTTACTTCCTAGCAGCAGAATCCGAGCCTATGTTATGAGGCTTAAGTGTCCATTTCAGCAGCATTCCTCCTAAGATGTTTCTCAATTTTTATTGCTAGCTCATGCCTAAATAATACATTTGGATTTCTAACCCTTTAACAGGCAGTGGCACAGGTGGCATCTCATAATTATGCTCAGAAAGTGGGTAGTTCATAAGTTAGCAACATTATTCTTTTACTCTAAAATGCAAGCGGCAGTGGGAGGGGTGTGATTGTCTGAAACAGCCTAGAATTAAAGTCTCCATAGCTCAAAATTTCATAATGGCTTCCATTAAGTTCCCTTCTCATCTCTTTAGGGTAGCAATGCATTTTTTTTTCATTTTTAACCACACTTTTTTCATGTCTTTTATCACACTTCTCAAAATCCTTCAAGTTTTCTGTCTTTTAAAAAATTTAGTGTAGTGTTCACTGTGCACTTTATTTCAGAAGACTCAGGCAATTTTACTGTCAAACTCGATTATTCACACTGTCATCACCCCATTATGTATAAAATCAAAACTTTTTTTGATTAAAGCTTCAGAATTACACATCTTCCTCAATGCATGTCTTCAAACACCACCTTCAATCAACTTAACTAAAACGTGTAAAGCCCTAACCCTTGGCATACTTAACCTCTAATTCATAGAGCCACTGCCAAAGATTCATCTGGTCTGTTTAAATTTTATTGAAGCTCCCAGATAGCTTTCTGCCAATTAATTTAAATAACAGCTAACTACCCAGCTATTAGCATAATTTTTCACTCCTTTGAATCTACTACATTAATTACAGATATTAAGCACCTTCAAAGCCTCATTTTATGCCATATTTAAACTCTTCTCATTGTTTTCTGTTACCACTGTTTTGATCCATGACTGTAGGTGGATTACTTAACTTCTTTTGTAGACTCCTGCCAAAAGCTCTTTGGGAATTAGGACTGTACCAACATTTCTTTATCTACATTTTAAAAAATCGTCATTAATAGAAGATAGAGCAGGCCTGCAATGTAAGGTTAGAGAAGAAAAATAACTAATGCACTTCTCATCTGATTTCAACTAGTTCCAGCTAACTTGCATGGCACAGATGGACTGACTACTATTTCAAAGTTGACAATACTATTTATACAGTCCTTTGAAGGCTGTCTAAAGGAAACACATTTTTGTTGACAGTTCAATTACTTTGTAACTGTCTTTCCCCTCCAACTATTAATCAAGGTTTAAAAGAGGTTAGACAAGGCAGGGTTTTGCCTTCTTTGCTGTTCTTTCATTAAATTGATTTTTTCCTTCCAGTTTTTCAAGTATCTTAATCCCTTGTATATTGCAATATCCTAGTTCTAAACATTGTGCATAGCAAGCTTTGCCACTCTTCTTAATTGCAACTTTTTTGGGAATACAAAGGCTAAGCTTGATTTCTTAGCCTTAACAGACTCATTATGGTAACTTTACAGTCAAATAAACTTAATTACCTAATCAGGTCAGCTGAAAACTCAGGCTAATTACATTTATTTCCACCCAGAGTCTGCACATTCACATTTGTTCAACAGTATCTAAATCTTCCTTCACATAAGGAAAGCAATCAGATTCAATTCATATTGTAAACATTCATGTTACAATATTCCCAAACACTTAAAAGGACCAAATCTTTCTGATCACCAAAATATTATATGTAGACTTCAGTCTTTTCCCTGAATTGGGATTAAACAAGAGTAGAGACTAGAGGACAAACTGTAAAGCTTGCTAAAAATGAGAAAGAAGTGAGACAACTGTGAGGAACAAGGGAAAAGTGGGGGAAAAAGCATACACACTAGGAAAACTCCTCTATCACAATGGAAAAAAAGAAACTGTAAGACAGAGCTTGGAATATCTGCAATTTCACAGTCCAAATACTTGAGGGAAAAATTTGGTCATTATCAGATCTGAAAGGTAGGTAGATGTGTTTAGTTACAAAAGGAAGGAAAAGGAACAGCAGAATTTAAAAAAAAAGGTACAGAAAGCACAGAAGAACAAGTCTATAAGAATCAGGAAAAGAATTCTGTACAACAGTATGTATGTGGAAAAGGGTGGAAGGAAAGCTCATTTGAGGCTGAAAACAGACAAAACCCCAAAAATAATTGGAACCAACTCTGACAGCTCAAGAGACAATCACAAGAGAAACAGCACATGGAGGATCAAGAGAAAGACAGGACCTCAGCAAGGCTCTGGTGCTAGTGTACTGCTCCATGCTTTGCTGCTATTTGTGCATCATGTGCCCCACACCCCCTAGGGCAGGCACAGCACGAGGAAGCCTCAAGGAATGAGTGGGATATGGCAGAGCTTTATGTCACTAAGGTGCTCTGGGGTCTGCAAGTCAATGCACACACCTCATGCAGAGCTAAAGACACTTACAGAGCAACAGATGCAGTGGCAGCAGCAGGGCAGAGGGAGGTGAATATGGGTCCCACTTACACCTGAGAGAAGCAAAGAGGAAAGTTGACAGCAAGTTGAAGTGAGGGTGTGCATGTGTGCAAAATGAGCCTTAATGGCATGCCAAGTACTTAGCTTTTAGTGTTTGGGCACTCACCTCCCCGGCAGGCCTGGATAAAGAACATTTTGGGCTTATTCTGGAGATTTGGGCAGTTTGCATTATCAAAGAGCCGGAAAACCTCCTGCAACTGAGAGAAGAAAGAGGAAATTTATTCACTGTAGCCTTCTGTAAGCCAAACCCAGTCTCACCTTGCTTCCCTGTATTTTGCTTATTACCTCACTACTGATCCTCCCTTTATCTGTAAACTCAGTATGTGACAAACACTACCCTTTTCCACCCACTCCCCAGGTTCATAGACTCTACCTAGTATTTATACAGAGAAATTATTTCTCCTACTTGCCATTTTTAATTTTCCAGACCTCTCACAGACAGCCTCCTGCCCTTTTCTTCCCTCCAGCCTTTGTTTTTCCTATTTTAAAAAACGTGAATCCTGTCTTGCATATATTTTTTTTTTTAAACATTGTTACTTTCCTAGAGATAACCAACAAGAGCTGAGGACTCAGCAATATACCTCTAGTAGTTTGCCATCACTGCCATAAACCCCTCCTTCCACACCATGGGAAAGCAGAGCTATAATGCAGGAATCTACATCTCGATGATCTTGCAGCTTGGAGAATCTCTTCAATGCATTCTGCATCTCCTAGAACAGGGAAAAAATAAAATAGTTCAATGTTTTCCAGACTTCCACAAGGAAAGTGAATCAAGTTTTCTGGGAGGAACACAAATGGCCCTTCTGTTACAAAGAAAACCCCTATACACATCAAATTTACATGAAAAAGATGAGTTCTATTTAAAAAAAAAAAAAAAAAAAAGCAAAATATTCTTGTACTTTTATACAAAATTCAGTCCTAAGTATAACACTGTGAAGCAGGAATCACTTAGGCCAGCAAAGGAAACCAAGTGATATTTTGCAGAGGTTTTACACTGACACTGGAATCTGGCTGGATATTGGAGCAACTTAACAGATACATACTCTGTGACTTCAAGCCTTCAGACACGAGTGGTCAATTCAAAATTGAAACTAGAAAACTTCAGGAGCTCTGACAACATGGCAGGCGCAAATATCTTGTATCAATGTTGCAAAAGTTCTGTTCCTGAACAAAACACCCTTTAACAGGTCCTGTATCACTTGAATTCATAGGGATTTAAAAGGACCAAGATCAAATTATTCTGGAAAAGATAGCCACTGCACTCCAAGGGAGAGTAGTTTGATTAAATTAGTCATGGAACACAAGCAATTTTCCTCAGTGAAGCACATACATGTTTTTAGTGAAGACCGAAAGAGTGGAACTGAACTGCATGGATATTGGAAGACTGATAAATAGGATGCCAATTGACTTCATCAGTGAAAGGACTTGAAAACAACACAGTAGCAAAGGCTACATCAAATATTTGCAAAGTTTAACTTTTAGGAGTAGGACAGTGGAAAAGTCTATCTAGAGCAAACTGGACACTTTATTCATTTGTGCTTTTAACACACATGCCATGTGTGGTCTCAAAATTTTTGCCCTTGCACTAGGGTCAGATTGGAGTAGGACTTCTTGTAGTTCTTTGTGAAACTACTATCCATTGGAAGAACTCAGCCTTCTAAGCTTTCTTCATGTTGATCAGTATGAGAGCAGACATCATGTTTAGCCTTATTTTCTATTCTTAAGTGATAATTTAAATCTTCAAAGCTTAGCTACATACCAAAGAAAACCTCTTGAGACAATTATGAAACAAACTCTCATCCACACCAGTTATGAAGTACTGGCATCACCCCCCTTACCTGTGCAGTTTGATCACACAAAACAGTGACTCGATACCCAAGATGCTTGAAAAGCATCTCCAGGGAGGCACAGTCCACGTCTCCCCCTGAGCGATATTCCAGGTCGCTCTCGCTGCTGAAACGGACATTGCTGAGGATCAGTGCTAAGCCTCGGGGCTCTGATGTCAGCTTGTATGCCTGAGAGGAAGATTAAAAACGGGTAAATTTAGAATACACAAGGAAATAATGATGTGTTAGAATAGAACAGCAATCATGCCACACCAACTTGATATGCCTGCGCTTGCCAGCCTCCACAACTGACAGTGCTACAATACTATTATTAATAATTTAGACTGGCTTGCTTTATTCCTCATTTTAAAAGAAACACAGCTTATCCATTTCAAGCAGTGAATTAGACATTGCTAACATTTTCCCCTTTCCTCACGTCAGTAGGGCCCCATATATTTGTGTTACTCCCATCAAAGGACAACACTATGTAAAATTTAGCTAACATTTCTTAATTGCTGTTGGGAGCAGACAGAGATGTAAAATAGCAATGAGTGTAATTGTAACAGCAAGAGACTGTCAGTCATTGACTTTTAAAATTATGCAACTGGCAAAAGAGGTTAACAGGGTAAGAACTAATTTAAGAAGGGTATCTTCAGATTAAGTTCCCTCTCTGTTCCTACTACTCTAACAACAACAAATCAATAGTAATTCACTTACTAACACTCCTGTAAATTGGAAGTAAAATTTAATACCAAAGAAGAATATCGAATAAGGTGTATGCAGGCACAAATGTAAAAGGAGCCTAGTCAAGCTCACACTGGCACTGCTTATTAATCGTCACCTCCACAAACAGTTCCAAAAAACTCCACAACAACCCCCCAAAAAACCAAATTCAACCCAAACAAAAACCAACACACAAACAACTGTTTTATTACACACAGAGCCGCTGACATTGTATAACCCTAAAGCAGTGTTTATCCCACAACACAAAGGAGTTTTCCTTAAGCTCACTCCATGACAATCTATGCTTTACAGACAGAATCAACAAAAAGTAATTAGATTCCATATATAACTTCAAACACTGCAGAAGATTAGAAATTCAGATTGTTCTACCCACAGGCAGAATTCTAGCACACAATCCTGATCTGGTTCTTAAACCTAAGGACTCCATTGGGTACAGTTGGCAATTAAAACAGCCAACTTGCTACCTGAAAACACAGTTCTACGATCTTACAGTCATTTACAGGGTTTCTCATCTTCCAGAAGACGAGGACACAGACAAATAAACCGGAGGCAATACTACTGACAGCTCACAGAGAGCAATAGCAGAGAAGTCATTTCCCAAAGCTCTTCATGATCAAATAAAACAGAGGCAGAGATTTGTTTAGCTAGAGAACTTCTCAGGATGTCTTGACACTTGTAAATGAGAACCACATCAGATGGAGCACGGCCGGTGACCCTTTCAGTTACACAAATAGCACAACCCTGATCTGCATCCCAATGAAGCATTTCCACTCAATTTGAAGTGGCACATGTTCAGCTCATAGACCTAAACATCTCACATCTCTCACATCCTAAGACTTTCTTTGCCAACAACTTACCAAGTGCTGATGATTGCGATAAAATTCAGGACTGCAATACTTCACTGGAGGAACTGCAGGACCATCTCCATTATCCAAGGAGTGTTCCATTGGTTCTGTGCAAAACCAAATATAACAATAAAATAAAAAAAATTCAGACACATAGCCTCTGCATTAAGGTAATAACTTGCAAATTCTGAACTACATTTATTTATGCATATTTTGTACCTCCAAAAATTTTGTTTGATCAAGGACTACTGACACAAAATGAAACACAGAGGAGAAAAAAAGTACTGTAACAGTATACTTATTTTGTTTATTTTAACTGACAGCTTTTATTTTTGCCTGTATGTGGGTTAGCCTTATTTAAGGCCTTGTCTACAGAATATGAAAACAGAATTCTCATCTAATTTAAGATCCTTGTGCTTTCTGCTGTTTTGTACAGTATGTTCTTACTTTCAGAGTTTGGCTGACAAAATGTTGCTAAAAAATTTCAAACAGAATAGTTCTTTCCTTTCATAAAAGGCCTCCCATGCTGAACACATGCATAAGTGATCAAAAAAGACAATTTTAACTTTCATATAGTGGAAAACCCTTTTCTCTTTTTATCTCCCTCTGAACACTTTCCCCTGGATAACAGCAGAGGAGGGGAATGATAATCAACTATTTGCCATTTGCAGACAAATACTCACTCCTCTGAACCAAAGAAACTGAGCTAATGACATTCACAATCTCTTCTGAAATCCTCTTTCAGCCTTTTGAGGCATGGCTCTCCCGGTTGGAAGAACATATGCTCTAAAAAATCAAAACAACCCAATCTAAAACCCTTGCACATAAATAAAAAAGTTTCCAAAAAATTAGACACTTGTTCTCTAAGACCAGAGAGAGCTCCCAGTAACCAGCATAAGGCAAACCTGTGGTTAGGGAAAAATTACTCCAGGCATTACCAGAGGCAACATAAAAACTAGCAAGGAGATTTATTCCAGCAGCTCTTTATTAGACCAGTCCCCTGGCCTAAGTTGCAAATGCATGTTAATGAAAAGCTGATTTGCTGCACTTGATAGAATCTACAGAAAACCAAATTAGACCCACGTAACACATATAAGTCCTTAAAACAATTTTTAAGAAAGAAGTCTTGGTTAAGGAATGCTGCCTGAAATCAGTATCTTATCAGAGTGCTAGCTCAATGAAATTCTATTACAAAGCTTAGAGAAAATCGTTGCAAAATCTAGAATATTACTGATGTGCACGGTTCTAAGCAACAAAGTGTCTCATAAGAATAAATTAAGCTAACAAGAAACATGTATTGGTTGTCTCTTCCTATATGCTATAAAGTACCCTCTTTAACCATAATATAGGCAGTTTACTGTCAAGTTTGTATTCCTGGGATGAGCAAAGTAGTGGCAAGCTTATTTCTAGACTTGAATTAAGACAGTATTAAGAAATTGGCAGGAGCCAACTCACCAAGCCAACGGGGTCTCTTTGAATTACAGGACTCACTGGCAGGGTATGGAAGATCTGACTCATGACAGTGTTCAAGCTACGAGACATCAATAAATCCATGAAAAAGAGTAGCATAAAATAGCTAATTTTCTTCTCCATAGTACAAAGCTGAAGGTATCGTGGAAGAAAAGATATATGCATTTATTTACACATAAAAATGACTGAAATATCATATTACGGTCCACTTCCAAAAGAAACATCATGGCAAGACAGCAGCAGCACTTTCTTTCAATGCAAGACTCCTTCTTTATCTCTACTTCTACCCAAATCCTCTGTTTAGAATCTTCATACTGGGGTCATCTTAGCTTCCTTGGTTTTAATAGAAACTTGATTTGCCTGGTGATTTGTATTTATTTTTGTTTGCTGTCAAGATTTCATTGTAAACAAAAAAATTAAAAGGGTAGTCCGATAAATTTCACATTTTAATAAGGGAACATTTGTTCAGAAGTATTTGCTCTCCCTTCCTTTGTATAAAATACGTTTACTAAGAGTTTCCATCCTTGTCAGTGCACTAAGAACATGGAATCTTTGCAAAATTCTTCCTTTAGTACAACACTAACCACACATAGTGAAAAGGTGACAAAAAATTAACAAAATAAAGAAATAAAAGTATTTGTTTCCTTAAGAGTCTATTCAGACAATCACTGAATAGTAAACCAAAATAGTTCAGAGAAAAAAATACTTTTAATTTTTGGATTATTGATACAAGTCAATTAAGAACTTGTTGGATGCAAGAACACTGCAGGAACCTTGTACAGTTCAACAAAAAGAAGTGCAAAATCCTGTGCCTGGGGTGGATCACTCCCAGGCACCAATCTATCCTGGGGGGCACCCAGCTGGGAAGCAGCTCAGCAGGAAAGGACTTGGTGTTGCCAAGCCAAGCAGGAGCCAGCAATGTACCCTTGGCACAAAGGCAAGTGGCACCCTGGGCTGCATTGGGAGTGACGAAGGGAGGTGATCCCTCATCCCTCAAGGGGAATTTATCCATGTGTATGAATACCTGAAAGGAGGGCACAAAGAAGACACAGTCAGGCTCTTTTCATTGGTGACAGACCCAGAGGCCATGGGCACAAACTGAAACACAGGAGATTCCCCCTTAAACATCAGGAAACACTTTTTTATTGTGAGGTGCCTGAGCACTGCAGGAGGTTGCCCAGAGAGGCTGCAGTCTCCAGCCTTGCAGACAGATATTCAGAAACTGCCTGGATGTGACCCTGGAAGCCTGCTGAAGGTAATACCTGAGCAGGGAAGTTGGAAGAGATGACTTCCAGAGGCCCTTTCCAACCTCTACCACCTTGTGATTCTTTATGAAAATTCTCTTCTACCCAAATTTGTTCCTCCCTGCTTTTACTAAGGCTACTACAAGTTTCAACTTGAAACAAAACCATTCTCTCCTTTGTAAACAATTGAGTTTTTTTCCATTTGATAAAGTTCCTTTTGTGCCCAAACCCAATGTGAAATGCAAGCCACCCATCTTATTTTTTTAAAAACTGTTGTACCCTTGCAATCTCATGGCTCAGGTTGGACATTGTCTTCAGGATCAGTGCCTCCAGATGCTGCTGTTGGGTTTCTCGCAGGGCTTCACAGAAGGCTGAGAAGGCATTAGGGCCTCTCTTGGGTAGCAAATTGAGGAATTCCACATTTCGGTCAAAGCTCCCAGACTTGGCCTGAACCCAGAAGAAAAAAAAAATAAATCCATATTCAAGTAACACCCAACATAATTAACTTTCAGTGAATCATGAGAATAACTTTTTTTTATTATTTCAGAAAAACATTCCACCACTATGCTTAGCTGTGTTAAAACCATTATCATATTCTTCCTAGTTGATTTCATTCACATTCCTCTGTTCCTATTTGCTCAAGAGTGGGAGTACATGAAAACAAAAGCCATCAATTCATACGTGACCACACACAGTAATACACTGTATTTTCTCTAAAATTTTACTTCTAGTTACCCTTGGAATAGTATCTACTTCTCCACACTGAATACACAGAGTTGAAAACGTGCTTCTACTACTATCCAATAGTTTATGATCTCATGCAGGTAGTCAAATCCTCCAGAAAACATTAAGTATTGTATTATTATATTAAGTCAATTCCAGAATGGTATTTCCTATGCACAGACGAATACTTAGATCAATAAAGTAATATATACTAGTATATGTGGAAAAGTAATCAACAAAAAATGACACAGCACCAAGAAGTTGTAATTGCTAGAATATTAACAGGTATTTACCAACAAGATGTATAATTTACACAATTATACCCTTCTCTGTGAAATCTAAACCACACCAAAAATCACATACCAAAATACTGGGTATCAGAAATAAATTTTATTTATTTGGAATTCATCCTATTTTTTAAATTATCACTTAGATACAAGATCTCTCCTTTTGGTGGACAATTGGGAATAGCTGATGAGTTACACAGAATTAAGGCCTAACAATACAGCAATCATAGGAAAATCAGGGGAAAAAAACCCTTGAGGAACACGTGTAAATAAATATTCTGCTACAAAAGATATCACATCATCTGGTTTCATTCATAATTATCAAGCTCTGTGTCAAAAATAGTTTGGTTTTTGCCCCAACACACTATTTGGGAAGATACTGCAAAACCTTGCTGATCCAATGTTTATGAACCTATTTAGAATTTCAGACCTATTCATTCATGACTAAGAGCATTTATTTTCATCAACAGTGCTCCTTGATCTCAGTGGTCTATCCTTTCCCTTATTTATCAAACTTCTTTCTATAAATTGGTCTTGATTTGCTACATGAAACAAGTCACTTTCTTCCACAAATGACCTCTTCCCTTAACAGTGTAAGTACCACTTCCTATTCCCACAGGATCCTGAATTTTCAGAGTACTATTGACTAGAAGTACCAATAATAATGTCTTACTTGTGTCTTCCCAAAAGTATGCAGGTACCTTTCTCTTGGAAACACTGCTCCATTAGTCCATCAAAAATAACCAGCTCCATGTATTTGTATCGTGCTGTAAGCTCACTGAATTTCATTGTAACTAAATTGAGACTTGATTTCTAAAGTAGCTAATGAATTTTTCTTCCTCTCTAGTAGACCTGCAGCTATTTTGAGACAAGCTAAAGGTCATTCACCTTTCTCACAGTCTATGACTAAGCCATAAATGATAGTAAAGAACACAAGCTGACCTCAAGAACCAGAATGTTTTATTAAAAAGTTAAGAAATGTCCATAATGTTCATGCTCTGCCCTTTGTATGCACAGAAGTCAGCTTCTGGCAGACTTTTTCCTTAATACTTCCTTAAACACTCAAAGGGCTGTGCCTCCTGATATGACTTCATCTTCAACATCACATTTAGGTTATGCTAAATAATGTTCAGGAAACATTCAGAAGTTAGTAAGACACTTCTTTCATTTTATTTCCCAATACATCCTTATTTCCTTCTCCTCACAGATGGGTTTGATAATCTGCATAACAGAAACTAGTTGTAAATAAATTCTGAATTCTGTCAAAATTCCGTATTAGTCTTATTATACACCTGTAGAATCCGTAGAAAAAGCATATTTAATTGACAAACATCCTAATCAAATTTATGTCACTTGTCAAAACCAGTGATCCCTTCATTATTGTATAGGCATCAACAATTTAAATCTCTGCATCTATACAATCTCAGTCCTTGATTACAGTACAGAGTACTCAACTTGTTTAAAAAGAAAGAAAGCTCTTGCTACTATATCTGCAATTTTAAACATCCATCCCAGAGCTCTGAAAGAACATCTGATGCTCCAACAAGAAGGCATTTATGCAAGCAGATGTTGGAGCTTGCCTTAAGAACACCTGTTTCCACTGTCTCACTTTATTTCCACCTTAATTTTTCTCCTGTGTTTGAAACCCCCCCCCCTTGCTGGGTTTTCACCTAAATAATTATAACATCATTTCCACTACAAAGTAAACACAATTTTCTTTACTCTTTATTGAAAGTATATACCGTGGAAAAAAGCTCACATGGTTTAGTATCTTTCTGAATGACCCAATTTAAATTCAGTACTATCAGATCCTACTATGTCCCCGCATTTTAGGCATCAAAGGAAGCAGCATTTATTTACTGGTTCTTCGCCAATGTTGTACACCTATAAACTCTCTACTTACTCTTCATATTCCTTGTGAGCTCCTCATCCAGTTCAACCACCTTTGTCTTCAGTGGCTTTTCCTGCAACACACTTCCCCTCTCATCTTTTTCTTACTTGTGCTAAACTTTCATTATTGGTTTGACATCTCACACCTGGAAAAGATGTCATGCTTCATCTCCCTGAGCTCCTTGATTTATTTCACTTTCTTTCCAGAAATTTATTTAAGTGCTCTATTTCCAGAACCATTTTCTTCTTTTGTTTAGCTTAAATCAAGCCAACAGGACCGGTGTAGCTGTTGTGTTTTTAAGAAAAGATTTAGAACATAACTATTTATTCAGATCTTGATTTCCTGACTTATAGCAGGAGCAGGAGGATATATAAATAGAGCCAATCAGTTACAATATCCAGGAGAATCTATTTTCTTTCATCAGACAATAGCATTTGGCTCCTCCTGTTTCCATTAAGGTACCTGATGATCAGCGTCACAATGCATTTTCAATAACAGGCTACTTAACAGCACTTCTAAGAGTGTGCTCACATTTGAAAGAGACAGGAAGAATATTAAAAATTCAGACCTGCTACAGGAAAATGAAAGGTAACACAAAGTGTTTTCCACTCCAGTGTTTTTTTATAAATGCACTTTAGTTTTTTTCCACAGCACTGTTATGCCCAGGACTATCCAGTCCCTTCATTTCTATCCTTCTAGTGCAATGCATATTTTGCAGTTCCAGCTTTACTTCTACCTCTGCCACATTTCTGTTTTTGTTGCAATTTCCAGATCAATAGCCTGCAACAGTAGTTCAAGTCACTCAGTTCTCCTGCTCAGGCTGCTACTGCTGTTTATACACATTTAAGCTCTTAGTTAGGTGTGTTTATTGTATTAGGCATATTTTTTCCACTAAGATATTACTCTTTACCCGACTTATCCATCATAACACCTTTCTCCTTACTGATAAACCATTACCAAGTATTGTTGCTTCCCCTTTACTCAATTATATCTGGAGGGGAAGATTCCTTTAGGCTTCTTCCCCTCATTCTCAGTTTAATACTTTTTAACTATAACAGCACCTTGCCAAAAAGAGTACTTTCTCTGGCATTACCTTAAGTTTGACAGGATTTTTTTTTCTTTTCTTCCATTCTCCCTGCTCCCCCTTAGGTGACAAACTGCAGGCCATCAAAAACCCATCCCTACTCACCATCCACACTTCAGCAATGCTGTTGCTTTAAGCCCTGTGGGCTGCTAAGCATCAGAGCCTCAGTTATTTCCTCCCCAAGTGGAATGGTGGGGAGAATCCAAAGAATAAAAGTGAGAAAAGTAGTGATAAAGATGGTTTAATAAGTAAAGCAAAAGCCACACACACAAAGCAAAACAAATTCATCCACTACTTCCTGTTGGTAGGCAGGTGTCCAGGCATTCCAAGGACAGTGGGGCTCCATCACTCACAGTGGTCACTTAGACTCACAGAATATTCTGGGTGGGAAGGAACCCTCCAGGATCACTGAATCCGACTCTCTGATCCCATATAGGGATCAAACTCAAGACCTTGGCATTATTGGCACCATGCTGTGTCACTCAGTTTCCCCTTCTCTCTTCTTCCCCTACCTTTACATGCTGACCATGACACCAAACAGAGTGGGAGATCCCTTGGGTCCAGCTGTCTGGGATGTGTCCCCTCCCAATTTCTTGTGCTTCTCCAGCATTGCTGGTGGGGTGGGGTGAGACAAAAAGGCCTTGGCTCTGGATCAGCACTGCTCAGCACTAACTAAAACACCTCTACATTAACGACACTGTTTCCAGCACAAATCCAAAACACAATCCTATACCAGCTACTATGAAGAAATTAACTACTCCAGCCCAAACTCAGAGAAGGCCTCGATTCATTCTCTGGCTTGCACTGTTTCATGCTATCTTTGTTCTCTTCCACTACGGATTGGAGCTATTCCAGGTGAGAGTGCCTGCAGTTCCCACAATTCAGCACTGATATCCTTGACAGGTCCCATGAGGCATCTAATAATATCTTTGACACGGCATCAAAGTATGCAAAGGGATTCACATTATCTTTAACAATGACTCAAAATTAATCAGGAAGTTATTTCTTCACTGCTATCAAAACCTTATCAGTCTTAGGTTTAAACTTTCTACATTCATGCCCAAAAAATTGCTCATAATCCTATTTTTCAACACCCATTCTTTATTATGAGACCATGAACTTTGAGGGACTAAAAACTCCATCAGTTCCTTATCTGAGCCCTGACATGCACCTGATGCGCAGCTTCAACCACTTCCTTTCTAGTCTGCTTTCTCTGAAGACCTGTGTGTCCATCCTGCACAGTGCTCTGTGCACTACCATCCCTCTGGAAGAAATCCCAAATTATTTCCAATGACTTCTCTCTATGGTATGCACTGCACAGGGAAAGTAACACGAGTCTGAAAACAAACAGCATTTGTTATTTGACAGTGAGCCTTGAACCTTGCAAGGTGCTTCAAGCAATTTACAAAAATATATACGAAACACAAATTCTTTCTATGGAGGGTGCCACGACAAACTAGCATATAATACAATCATTTACTTTTTTTCACAGTATTGTTTTGGAAATACCTATTATTCCTGCTTCTACATGCAGAAGAAAAAAGATATGCACAAAATTATAATAAAGGACTGTAAGCTACCACCCGATCCACTAAGTACAGCCTGCTGCAACTGCACACCAGAATAGAGGGAATCTTAGAGGAAATGGACTTTTTCTTGCTACAAAAGCACCTTGCAGTTCTCCTGCACGCTGCAACGAAACCCCTGCAGGTCCTGAGCGCAATCACACTGAAACGAGGAGGTAACAGGTGAGTTTTTTTCCATGCTGCCACTGCAAGGAACGACACCGAGCTCAGCCAGAGACAAAGCTCTCGGCGCAGGCGACAACCCGCGTACCTGTATCATTTCCACCATCTCCGTGGTGATGATGTCTTTCTCTACCATGTGCTCCACCAGCACATTCAACACCAGCTGCTTGGCCAGCATCACCCGGTTCTTCTTGAGCGCTTCCTGATGGCACCGCTGCATGCCGCACGCCGCCAGCATCCTGGGAGGAGCGGGGACAGCAGGGCCGAGCGCCGCGCCAAGGAGCCACCCGTATTCCCGCCCGACTCCGGGCCCGGGAGGAAGCGGCGGGACCCCGCGGGCCGCGGCCGCCGCCTGACGACGGGCGGGGCGGGCGGAAAGGAGCCCGTCCCGCCTTTTCGCGGCGGGCGGAAAGGAGCCCCCGTCCCGCCTTTTCCCGGCGGCCCCCGCGATTCAAACGGCGTCACGTGACCGCCGCGGGCGCGCTTTCCCGCCTCTTCCTGCGCGGGCGCGGCCCCTGAGGGGGCGGCGGGGCCCGGCTTGTGCGGAGGCGTAGCGGGGCTGGGGGCTGCGGCTTTCCTGGCCAGAGACAGTGCTGGCTCTGGGCCTTTCTTTTTTTTTTTTTTTTTTTTTTTTTTCCTCCTCCCTCCCCTTCCTCTGCTGAGATGGGTTTCTGCGGAACTCAGCTGCAACTAGTAACGAAAACGTTCTGTAATTAAGTGGGAGGGAGAAATTGAGCATACGGGATGTGCAGAGAAATACGAAGGGAAATACAAAGGGAATATCAAGTGAGCATCCAAGCGAAAGCGAATTCACAGCTCTCATTACAGAATCACAAAATCAGTTGGGAAAGACCTCTGAGATCACCAAGTCCAACCTTTGACCGGACGCCACCATGGCAACTAGACCATGGCACTGAGTGCCACATCCAGCCTTTCCTTAAACAGCTCTGGGGATGGTGACTCCATCACCTCTGAGCAGCCCATTCCAAATGCTCGACAACCCTCCTGAGAAGAAATTCCTCCTGATGTCCAGCCTGACCTCCTGTGGCACAGCTTGAGGCCAATTCCTCTGGTCCTGTCTCAGGTTGCCTGGGAGAAGAGACCAAACCCCACCTGGCTACAATTGTAGAGAGCAATAAGGTCTCACCTGAGCTTTCTCCAGGCTAAACAACCCCAGCTCCCACACCTGCTCCTCTTACAACTTACAAAAAAGGTCACATGAAGCGTCAGATGGCTTCTGCACATTATTCTTTAGCACATAGATTTCCTATGTCCCTGTGCACAGGAATTCTGTCTGCTAAAGCTTAACAAACGTCCAAAGGCTTGACAACCTTTACAAATGTTAAAGACAAAATTGTACTGATCATAACTGGTGACATTTTTGGTCTTTGTTTTGGCTAGTTTTTAGTCTGTGATGGTCACCTGAATTTCTTCCTGACTCTTGGCAATTCAGTGCACTCAGGCAAGTCCTGAGTTGCCCAGTTTAAGACTCAGAGTTTCTATGCCTGTGTCACATACCTGTGACACCTTTTGGTGAGATTTTTTTCTTTTCTGTTAGCAGATACAGGAGGGAAATGCAAGTAGTGATTGACATTAAAGAAATCACGTTGCCTTGATCAGCAAGTTTGTCTCTCCTAATCATCAGTATGAGTAATGATAGTAAAGTGATTCAGTTGTTGATTCAGAAATGGAACTCCTCTTTTCTAAGCCAAGATTATCAAATAAGCAGAATGCAAGCAAAAGCATGGCTTTTTGGAGTGGTTTTTTTGTGAGGAAAAATTAACATTGCCACCAGGAATTTTTAAAGCAGTCCTGTTTATTTATAAACAACATAAAAGGGTTTTTTTTCTGCTTTGAACTATAAAGAATCAAATAATAAGAAATAATTTATTTGCTTCTAGCCTATGGTTTGATGGTTCCTCATATGAATTAAAGATGTGGTGATTAAAGGCTGTGATGATTGCTGCTCTCCTTCACAGGAGATTCAGACCACCATTTTTATTTTTTAATTTGGACATTCACCAGATGCAAATGCATCTCTTTGCATACTGCAGACCACTTTGACACTGCAGAGCCAATCAGTTTAGCTCACCCATTTAAAAAGGCACAGCATCACTGATCAGTGAGAGCTAGAACCTGCCTACAGCCTAGAACCATCATGATGAAGGCCAAATGTGTCTTGGGACTGTTGTCCTCAGGTGCTCCGCTGCCATGGGAGACAGACTGGACTTTTCCAGAGCCCACAGAGAACTGGAGCAGCTTTGGCCTTTCTGTGCATGATGACAATAAAGTGTCTCAGGCCATCTGTTAGAGTACACCTGTAATACAGCAGACATACACCCTGTAGTAGAGCCATGAAGTCCGAGCAGAGTATGCTTACGTGTGTGTATCCCATAACTGGCCTCTCTTGCAGGGAGAAAACTTATCTCCCTCTTGTCCACCATTGGCTGTGTGGGATGAGAACTTTGTGAACAACAGAAGTCATTTAATGCATACTATCAGCTTTTCAACCCTAAGTGACAGGTATCAGGTGGTACCAGCTTCCAGATGCAGCCACTCTCCCCTCAGTCACACTCCCATGTGGCACAGTTGAGGATGTGGAGCAGGTGTGGCAGAGGGATGGTAACAAACAGCTTAGACCATAAATTTGTATTGCCGCAAAACAGCAACATGGGGAGCGCAGGCTTGTTCTCCCTGCAGCAGTTTCAGGGTGGCTGATGAGCACACAGCACTCAGCAATATTGCTGTTTGCAATGCAGAACGTGCTTAGCGTTGTTTCTATTCTTCCCCTTTCCCAGGCAGATTCTTCTGGCTGCAGCCTACAGTTCTTATTCAGAGGTCTTTTGGCAACCTTTTTTCTTCTCAGGATTTACTTCTCCTCTCCCATAAAGGTGTATCTCCAGTTTGAGAACGTTGCCATACATAACACAACTTTCCTCACAGTGGTTTTATGTATCTGCCGAGACAAAGCAGTGTGGTATTGCATTGATTTCTATTTTGTGCAAAAAGATTCTAGTAACATCAGAAGCTGCGGCTGTAGTTCAATTCTGGTTCAAAGACTGGTGAGACAAATGTTTAGGCAAAACATTATCAGCCATTTTACCATCCCTCTAGGAGCATCCCGTATCGGGGTGAGGGTTTGGTTCTGTGTTCATGGAGGGTGAAATCAGTCCTAATGCAGAGGGCTGGTGAGCATCTTCAAAGACTTCATCACTGATGGCAGTCTCATAAGCAGGTGGTGGAGTGAGTGGCTCCAGTGGTTCAAACCTTTCTTCAACATCTTTCTCCTCATGGATGTCCGAAACAAACCGCTGCAGTCTTGGGGGCAGCACCAGCTGCAGCTGTGTCCTGGATCCCGTGTCTGTCACAGAGGTGTGCACTGTGTCTGGTGGCACTGGCCCCCAGAGAGCCTCCACCATCATCTCTTGTTGGGCAGAGGATTCAATAACGACGTTGTACGGGGGAGGCTCGCTCAGCGGTGAGGGCAAGGAGCCTGGGTTGGATGTAATTGTCCATATTGCTGGAGCTGACATGGTCATCACCTCCTCGTAGGTGGGTGCTTCATAGGCAGCATTCACTCTGTGCCAGAGAGCAAGGCCAGATACACTCGTTATTTTACTGCATAGTTTACGTTTGTAGTACAGATCATGGACTGTAGGGACCATGCTACAAGCAACACATGGGACTGAGACAGGGTATCTCATGTGGTATTGCTGTGTAGGATATTTGGCCCCTGGATCAGCTCACCTCTCCAGCCAATTGAATGTCTTTCTTACTGGAATAGAAAATAGCTCATCTGACCATTTTCCCACATTCCCCAGAGTGAGTGAAGCTACCCACACTGTTCAGTTCAGTGTCCTAGGCTTAACCTGGTGTCCTCCTACAGTTAAAATTTATCACTGAGGATTGCTAACTACTAGTTATCTCATGGAATAAAGCAGGACCTATTTTTTTATATATTAGCTCAATGTCCATCCATTTTTAAGAAGTGGAGAAAATTAAGTACTTTCATTTAGTTTAAACAAGGACTAATTATTCCATGTTTAAAAGAACTATCTGCAAAGAAAAAAATGTTACTTTGGAGACATTTTTCTTTTCAGGTCGTATTTTATATAAAAGGATACTAGCTTTCTTCAAGTATGCCCCCAAACTAGCAGGGCCCGATATAGACTTCTTTTTTTTTTATAGTCTTTCTAAAAATAAACATTTTATTTGGGAACAGCAAGTCACTTATGCGCACGGATAATGATTATCTGGATTATACAAGGAAGCAAATAACGTTAACCTCTTCAATGACAGTGGGAAAACCGGGGTTACATTAGGTCATGCTGAGAACCTGCAAATGAGCATGAAGCCAAAAAGAGGTGGTAGTATTCCAAGTCTCTAAAAATCAGGGGTTTTATTAGTGTCAAGTAGAAATTTTAAGAGTGGAGACACACCCAGTTACAAGTTTCTCTTAAAGTTTGCCAAGAAACAGTTGCTCTAGAGATAAGGTTTATACAGCTAAACCCAAATAAGATTTGGTATTGCTTAAACATTTTTTCTTTTTTCCTTGTCTGACTCATTGTTTGGCAAGCCTCGATTACTCAAAGGAAAATGAAATGGGCCTGGATCAGTTTAACATTGGCAAGTTTTAGTGGATCAGTTCCCCAGGGGAAGAAAATATATATGACAAAGGTACAGGACATGCGTGGCATTGACTTTGCAACCTCCACGTCAATAATGAGGGAAAAAGATCCAAAAAGAACTTTTGTCTTTGGGAATGGAGTCTGCGTTTGGTGCCTCGGGGGAAAGGCAGCAAAAGAGTGTTTAAAATGGCCAGGAGTGAGGTGAGAGTTAAAGAGGAGTAACCAGGTTGCTGCTTACCCTGCTTGGCTCTGCCTGTTTGGAGGTACTTCGTTTGCATCATGCCGGTGTTGATTCCTCAGGTAACACTCGACAAACACACTCAGCAAATAGCCAACCAGGCACACTCCCCCTACCCCGAGGAAGAAATAGCCTACTGGGTTGATGTTAGAGGAGATGGCCAGCATGGTGACCCCGATGAGAAGAGCAGCAGTGAACAGAAGCAGCAAGGTTTGGCGGATGTTCTTCCAGCGTGTCTCTAGCAACATGGCAGAAGGGATGTTGGTAGCAGGCAGTTGAGAACAGATGGGCACTTAAAGGGACAGACATCTGTGGAAGATGGAACAGTTTTTTCAACATGAAACATGAGCATATAAACACATTTCTAAGTATTGTGACCGCAGTAAAATCATAC